TATATATATATATGGTTCTTTTTTAAAATTTAGATTCTCACAAGTTTTGCTGAAATAAAGCTTCAGTGTTTATTTACATTACCTGTACATAAAAACCATCAGAGCCCTGTTTCAAAAAGCAGGATAAATGGAAATTCTGAGTAAGTTCTGGGGTAACTCGGTGCTTATCCTGGGTTTTCTGTTTCAGAAAGCCAGATAGCAGTTATCCTGTTATCAATCCTAAGGTTTAATAGGAGAGCTCATACCTGATTTTAACTGATTTTAATGTTTTTATATTTAATCTTTATTTGCTGCCATGTCTATTTATTACCAGCTTGGTACACACACACACACACACACACACACACACACACACACATTTATCCAATCCAACTTTATTTGTAAAGCACTTTTTGCACGACAGTAGACCAAAGTGCTGTACAGAACCAGCATTCCAACACTGCTCATACGAAAACAAACTCAATCACAATTAAAATAGGAATTAAAACCACAGAAAAATAAAAACAGGTAATGAAAAACAAAGTAAAACTTTCATCCGCTTGAATAAAGAATAAAAGTTTAGATTCATGTAAAATCATGATCATTGACTTGATCAGCAATTATCTGCCACATTAACTCTCTTTCTCTTGCAGTAGCAGCAGTATTACTTTTTTATTTTTGTATATGTTGATATTTTCGATATGCAATCATTAATATTTTTAGTTCCAGCGCCGAGAAATAAACTTCTGGTTTTCTTGTTTTCTCCTGTTGCCATGCTGAATCATGTTATCTGACTTCATTGATTAGGGCTTTGTGCTCTAACTCAACTCAGAGGTAACTTGACTCAGAATTAAGTTACCCAGTTGATATCAGCTGTTCTGAAACCAAAAATCCCGAGTATCACAGAGCGGGGTAAGTTGATTCAGAGTATCTGCATTAACCCAGGGTTTCTGAAACAGGGCCCTGATGTGCTGGAAAAAAAAGCACAAGTACATATATCTTAATTTTATTCATACATTCACATCCATCCCATCAAAAATAATGAATCAGAAGTGCACCTACATGTACTGATAACCAGTTTAGTGTGATGGATTATATTATAATGTTTGTTGTCAACAATCCATCTTACTTCAGTATGAAGAAGCATAAAATCCCACCAGCAGGTAATCTTGTTTCAGATTCCTGGTGTTCCTGTAATGACCTCAGCAGCCTGCAGGGTGCACACAGTCCTCAGATCTGGGACTTGTTTTAGTCCATCACAGCCACAACAGCCTCACACAGGTTGTGCAGTCGTCTGTACAGACGCCCACTCTCAGGTCTCAGCAGCTCAGCAGCAGATGCAGCTACTCTATGTGGACAGAAGCGTTCTCCAATCAGAATGTCGGTCAGCTGCTTGCTCAGCTTTAGAGGAAGCCAGTCTTCTGTTATGTCCAACCGGCAGCTCTCCACCCGTCCGCTCTTCACCTCCATGTGCAGAGAAGCAGAGCAGCGTGCATCCAGCTGCTCATCCATCAGCTCCAGCTGTGTCTCAATGCTAAATTTAGGCGTCTTACCAAATGTCCACTCCCAGCTGCGCAGCTCTGCCGCCATGTTGCTTACACCCGGAAACGAGGACTCATTCGTCGGGTCAACCATCGTGGACATACAGGAGAGGCCAAACTCTGATGGTCAGAGAAAACAAAAGTACATCAACCTTCTGCAAGTTCTGACTTTCATCACTTCTCATATTCAGTTGGCAGAAACGTGAGGCACCTCTGTTGTACTGCTGCACCAGTGCGTCTAGAAGCTCCTCCCACTCCAAAGAAGGAGCGTGGTCTGTCAGGTTGGTGACAGGTGAGGGAATGCTGGGTGTGGCATTACTCTGAATATGAGGGCAAGAGGGGCGAAGCAAAGAGGAGAGGGCAGAGCGATCAGCGGAGTGAAGCAGAGTGCAGTGGTGGTAGGACGACTTCCTGCTGAGTCTGGACGCTGTGCCTGTAAACAACAAAACAATGTAAACAACAAGGAACACTAAACACATTTTGATCATGTAAATAAAACAGCAGCACAAATGTGACAAATATTAGAATTTTGCAGCACTCTATGTCTCAGTTTGATAATCCTGTATCTTACTATAGATTTATAAATATGATAACTAGCGTGTGCACTGGTCACGTTACCTTGTGATTCACTGTAGCACTGATGTCTGTTTGCTAAAAGGGAAAACATCTGTACTTGGCATTTTGATAGATATTAGAGTAAGGGCTGACTAAAAAACATTAAAATGATTATTGAACTTAATGTAATATAATAATTTATTATAATGTATATAAGCTATAAAATGCATGTAAATTTAAATAATGAAAATGCCACAAAGCTGTGTATGCTATAATGTACCAACAGAAGAGAGAAGGGAAAACGTATCTCCTTCCACAAGAAATCAGATTTTATCTTATTTATCTCAATGTGAATGTGATCTGAACAGAACTGAAGTTAATAATAACACTTTAAAAGTCACGCTCTGGTAGCTCAGTGGTCCGTTCTTGTGTCAGGAACAGCTCTGGTGTAAAAACAACTGCCATATATTCAAGCAGAGTTCACTCACTGTGGCAACCCTTGAAGAAGGGAGCAGCCAAAAGGAAAAAAACATAACTAAATAAAATAAAATTATAGTAATTTGTTGTAAAGAATTAAACAATGATTTATAACACAGATCCAGTTATGTTTGCTGCTGATTAAATAGTTTTGTCTGATGTGAACTGTTGCCCTCTTCAGATGCCACTTTAGCTTCTCCACAACATCACAACTAGAAGCACAAGGTGGGATATGCAGTGCACACTCTATTTGTCTCATAAAACTCTATGTATCTTACATAGAAGCTGAGTGAGAAAAACAACCTGCGGTTTAACTGCACGTTCTACCTGAGATTTTGTAGTGTCCATTCAGTAAAATATCAAATCTCTCTGTAGACTGGACAGCCAGTTCTGGACGGAGTCGCCTCAAGGCCTCAGTGACCACCTTCAGATTTCTCTGACGGTCATATCCTTTTTTGGAGGCAAAGAAGGTCATGTTGAGGTTTCCAAGGTCGTGGTAGACCGTCCCGCCTCCACTCCGTCTGCGGGCCAAAGGGATCCCCAACCTTCTCATGGCCGACAAGTTGCATTCAGTCCAGGGATTCTGGTGGCGTCCAATGACAACAACCGGCCTGTTCCTCCACAACAACAAGATGCTGCGCTGCTGAAGATCCACATGGGCATCAATCCAGTCCTCCAGAGCCAGGTTCTGGTATACATCAGTGGACTGAGACTGGAGGACAAGTCCAGCTCTGCTGTTGGCAGAGTCAAAGAAGAGGGACCTGGTCCTGTTTAGCTGGTTTCCATTTCCAGCTCTCAGAGGAGAAAATATCCTGCTGAGCTGAGATGACATGATGTTTCCTGATTACTGTTTAATATCTCAGGATCATTATGTCTCCAGTCAACTAAAAGTAAAAAAAAAAAAAAAAAATAATTTTTATTCCACTTTATTTGATATAATTTAATGGCTTACAAACAATTCCAATAATTAGTCTCTTGAGATATCAGAAAAACCTTTAGTGTTACTTAACTGATAAAATTATTATTTTTTAACAATTTGAGTCGAAAACAATATAATACATTCACCTATTATTCCGTAGGCAATGTGCTGAGTAAAGTTAAGCTAAAATATTTTAAACTAAAATGAGAATGAAGTAAATTGTCAGAAGTTGATTTCAATTGTGAGAAGTATTTTTTTTATTTTTTTATAAGGCTGAAACGTGTGTCCATAGACTCCCCCTTCGCGTCTGACGGTTAACAATAGCTGTAACACCGTCCTGTCACTACTATGAAAACTAAAAATGTATTTTAATGTTTCTCCTTTAACAAATTAATCCATAAAAAACAGGTAATTTATATTTTCCAACAGACCTGATAATAGCTCCTGACCTGTTCCGGAGAGGAGCCTGTGGCTGCCCGATCCGTACCGGAAGCACGATCCGTACTGTCCCGGAAGCGTTGTTTTGAGCCTGTAGCATTTCGCTAAACTGATGACAGAACTCATTCGATTTCAGTCTTTCATCACCTGCAATGTTTCATAGAAAAGGCAACGTTTTCAACAGCTGTGGATTTTTAGTCCTGGAAAAAAATAAAACGAAGATGAGTTAAATGATTGTGCAGAAAGTAGTTAGCGAGTTATTATAAATATGTACGCATCGTAAATCTATATTTTATTAATCAAAAGATATTCAATGTTAAAACTGTTTTCAGAATATAATGTAACACACCTTTATAATTACGTACAGAAATAACTATTTTCAGTATTTTTTTTTCCTAAATCGATCACATTCCAGAAGTCTATCATTCAGCGCATGCGCAAATGAGCTGACCGGGACGGGTCGGGTCGGGCTGCACGAAAAGAAAAAACAACATTTCCGCTAAAATCCTTCAGAACAAAAGCATGGATAGTTGTTTATAAAACCCTGTATGAAAGTATTTTGACATTTCCTCTATCATTTCATAACAAAAAGTATTAGTTTTAGCTACATATATAAAAATACAACAACCTTTGACATTTTGAATATCTTGTTGCCGGAAAGATAAGTTTTGCTTCAGAATGTAGGGGCCTTGTTTTATAAATTTTAATTTAGATTTTGATACAGTTTATTTACATTTAAATGACACTAGTTGCATACTAGGATGGGCCAGCTCACATTTTGTCAGAGGCTATTTTGTGGTTGTGCTTTTTTATTGTGAAATATATATA